GTGGGGGAGAAATGTGCCTTCTAAACCATGTGTGGGTGGGCCTGTCTCTAAAAGGATCAAGGGTAAGTGCATACTGAGAACAATGAGCAGTCTCTGCCACAGCTATCTACACAGAAAAGAAGATGGTGTAGGTGGAAATGAGGGTGGAAAGGATAAGCCTCCTGAAGTAGCTGCTTTCTTTTCTGAATGAGTGAATTTTGACAATGAGGAGCAGTTCACAAAGTGGAAGCCTGCTGTGTCCAGGAATTTTGCCTCTTCTTATTTCTAGTTACAGGTAATTCACCCAGAGCTTCATTACACTAATATTTTATTTTATTTTTTAAAATATATTTTATTGATTTTTTTTACAGAGGGGTAGGGAGAGGGATAAAGAGCTAGAAACATCGATGAGAGAGAAACATTGATCAGCTGCCTCCTGCACATCCTGCACTGGGGATGTGCCCGCAACCAAAGTACATATCCTTTACCGGAATCAAACCTGAGACCCTTCAGTCCACAGGCTGACACTCTATCCACTGAGCCAAACCTGTTAGGGCTACACTAATATTTTAAAGATCAGATCATTTGTCATCATGGAAATGCAAGTTAAAAGTATACACATCTTCAGAATGGCTTGAAAAAGCCAACTTTTGACAAGGACGGAAGCTAACCTTCTCACCAAAAATATATACAGTATCCATATCAATTCAATTTGTAATGTCTAAAAACTGGAAGCTACCCAAATACCCACTAACAGTGGAAGGTATATTCATACAATGAAGTACTATTTGGCAATGATAATAATATGCATATATTTCATAAAAAGCTGAGTGAAAGACACAAGAGTACACAGAGCATGGTTTATTTTTATATGATGTGCAACATTGGCTAAATTAATCTGAGAAATCAGGAATAATACCTCAGATAGTGATACTTTGGAGAGTGGCTAGTGACTGAGTATGAGGATGTAGGGGAAGTTGAAATAGTCTCAAATGATACCCTTATGATTGTCCTATTTTTCATTAGCTCTAATTTCAATAAAGCACTCTATTTCTTGATTTGTGTACTAGTTTCCTGAGTATGTTTATTTTATGAAAATTAATTAAGCTGCATATATAACTGTGAATTTCTAAATATAAACTCAACTTTATATTTAAAAAAAAGTCTACCTAAAATAGAAAAATAAAGTAGATGCAATTTTTTTAATTCTAAAATGAGCCATGGCCATAAACCACACATAATTTGATACTGAGTAAGAAGAGGATACAGCCCCTTTTTTATGTCACTCAAAGGATTATTTCTTATACCTTTTCCCCTACAAACATGACAAAAATTTACCTTTGTCCTATCTTATCATTTTCCCTAAACTGCTTAATGATTCAGTAAGAATAAAGGAAGGAGCATCAAAAAGGGAAGTTTAACACATCTTGGGAAAGTTAGGTGTTGGCTTTACCCTCTGAATACTTTTAAATCTACTTTTCTCTCCTTACTACTCAACTCCATCCTACATCCCCCTTAGGAGTTTCTGCTCAGCTGAAACAGGTTTGGCTCAGTGGATAGAGTGTCAGCCTGCAGACTCAAGAGTCCCAGGTTCAATTCTGGTCAAAGGCATGTACCTTGGTTGCAGGCACATCCCAGTAGGGTGTGTGCAGGAGGCAGCTGGTCGATGTTTCTCTCTCATCGATGCTTCTCTCTATCCTTTCTCTCGGTAAAAAAATCAATAAAATATTTTTTTAAAAAGAAAGAAAAAAAAGAGTTTCTGCTCAAATTATTCTTAGTCATTTGGTTTTTTTCTGCTTTGATTCTGGATACAAGAAAAGAGTATACACAAAATGTTGAATGTTTAATTGGGACCATCAGTAGAGTTACAGAAGCAATAAATTAAGCAAAACTCTCATTTCAGGATCATTTCCTAAACATCTTGAGCAAAATTCATGGAAGGTTTATCAAACCCATTTCAAAAGCCTCCATGTATGTAACTGAATAATTATAAATTAAAGGCCTAGAACTAAAAAGAGACAAATTTGAAGTTGCCTCCTTTAATATTCAGTTGGGTTTTTGAAAAAATGTTTCTCTCTTAACTTTTAAATCTAGAAATGAAAATTATGGTTTCTTCCAATGGGATGAACTGTTTTAAACCACTTAGTATTTTATACATTAATATACGTGAATATATATTTACTGTGGAACCAAATATCTACAAATACATCTTTATATAAAGTGGATGCTTCAAAATAGAGAAAATCAATTTTAATTGTTTCTTTTCCATAATTAATTATATTTATAAACAAAAAAATATTCAATCATTATAACCTAATTTTAACATTTTTTTCTTTAATTCTATTACCAGGATTAAAACCTTGTAAGATAAACTGAAATTACTGTGGTATAACCAGAAGTGTTTATCTTCTGATTTTATTTAAAAAAATTAAATAGAAAGTATTTTTTAATATATTTTATTGATTTTATACAGAGAGAAAGGGAGAGAGACAGAGAGCCAGAAACATCGATGAGAGAGAGTCATCAATCAGCTGCCTCTTGCACACCCCCCACCGGGGATATGCCCGCAACCAAGATACATGCCCTTGACCGGAATCGAACCCGGGACCTTTCAGTCCCCAAGCCGATGCTCTATCCATTGAGCCAAACTGGTCCCGGCTAGAAAGTATTTTTAAATTATTGCTAAAGACACGCCTATTAAAACAATTTTACAAATTTCTCAGTATTTTAATGTTACTATTTGAAACTAATTATGCATGCTGATCCCATTAATCTTGCTACAATTTCTGTGTGATATAGTTATTGAAATCTTCATTTCCTTGGGTAAAATCTAAAGAATTTTAGTCTAAGAAAAGTGATTTTTTTATGTCTCATGATAGTGTCTGACACCTCTTTTATTACATTTTAAATTTAACTTTTTGTCATTTCCTTTAATTACATATCCTATTTTATTTTGTTGTGGAACTAGAATCTCACCAGTTATTTACCCACTTATGTATGCATATAAAAGGGAAATTTAAGCCATGAGAAACATTTAACAACTAAAAAAATCAACTCTAAAATGTGTCCAATTATATAATAACACAAAGTTATACAAACGTTAGAAAGCATGTTACTGCTTGTCAATACAACAATGAATTCTTCCATTTACTATTCCTTAGCCATTGTTGAAATTCTAATTCATTTTTATTTTTCACTCTTCTCTTTGAAAGAAGTTTAGTAAAAACAAAATATGTAACCATAATCAAATATCTCTTTCTCATTAATATCTTTCAGAGTTGTAAATTTCAATTCCTCTCTGCTTGAGTTATTACAACAAAAGTTTGGAGAGTGGAGAGTAAACACCAGCAAGAAAAAAGAAAACCAGTTAAAGGACAAAGAACAAGAGGGGCTCCAACACAAGTGGGTTAAAAAGGCAGGAAAAAGAAGAAGTCTAGGTGGCACTGCTTTAATAACGGTGTCTGTGAGTGCATACTGGGAATCTAGGGAAAAAGAGAATTAGGCTTACCTGTTAGAAATAGGCCGGTTCTGGGAGCTGTCCAATGTACTAACCGAGCCATCATAGTCACAACTTACCTCCTTAATTGGAACTGATGTACCTGGTGATTCAATTCTGTGTGGAACCAATGCGTCTCCTTGCTCATCTTTTTTATTTTTATACCTTGGCTATTTCTTCTAATAGGAAAAATAAACTCTTCTTTGTTAAAATATTAGAGATAATAATATAGTCAGTAAAATTTCATTTTTGCTATATTACATTTACATTTCCTTGTCCCTCTTAACAAAAAACGATTTAATTGTAACAACAACAACAAAAACCTCCCATAGACAGAATGAAAGGACATTTGGTTTTTGCTTTTCTGTCCTGTAGGGCAGTGCAGATCAATGAGGAACATAAGCCAGATGGACATGCCAGGATTTTTCTTTCTTCACAAATACTGATCAGCAATTTAAAATTGGGAAGACTTCTCAGCAGAGGCTGAGTCCGTGGACCCACGGGTTTTCTAAAGGGCAAACGGCATGTTTGAAAGGAGACTGAGGTTGTTTTGTTTGGGGGGCGGGGAGGGTTTGCTTTGCCCCCCACGCTGGGATTATACACTAGAGCAAGCTCTGGGAAAATACGCCCCGCCGCCCCTCTTCACTTTATTGCCCTCCTAACTTCTGCCCTGGGCGTAAAATGTTCTATGTTACATGAGTAGAAGATAAGGGTAGGAAAAGGAAAGTCAAGTATCTGAATTGTTAGGCTGCTTGGGAGAAAACAGGCTGTAGAAGCCGGGGTTTGGGGTTTGTAACACGGGCAGGGGAGATGTTTAAGCTGCTGGAGGAGGCAAAAGCTGGTTCCAAGAGCGACTCTGGGGAATGTGCTCTGGGGCCCCCAACCATGCTTACTTAAGCTAATGGGAGAGCTTGCCTTTCACCAAGCTCCGTGCTGGGATACCACACAAACAGCACTCCCCCCCCTCGACCCCTGGCAGCCAGGGCCCCTCTCAGGGACCTCATTAAAAGCACGGGTTTCATGCTCATGGGCAGCGCAGTGTGGCAAGGTTCAGGACTCCGACTGAGCAGCCAAGCAGAAGCCAGAGAGGTGGAAAACATCCTGGCTTTGAAAAGCCCCATCTAAATGCAAGAGCCACGTGAGATGAGGAGCCCGGAGAATGATTAGTTGGCCTGGGGGCGAGGAGAGACACAAAAAAAGGCACAGCAGGTAAGAGCTGGGGGTTCGGACCTAGAAGGAACTGTCCCAGGTGGCGACCCGCAATGGATATTCCACTTGGAGGCCTGTCTCTGAGAGTCTTCGGGGCCTGGTCCAGCTGTCTCCTTCCATCGGTTTCGAGAATAGGGACGTCGCCATAGCCTTGCCAATCGGTGCGACTCATCCTGGGACCAGCTTGGTTCCAAATACTAAGGCCCCGGACCCTTCACTGTGGCTGTCGCATCAGATTCGGGGAAGTTAGGCAGCCGATCCCCCGTCTCGCCTCTCCCTGCGAGAAGTCCATGAGATACAGGACCAAGAGGACCAGATGGCGGTCTATCCGGAGAGCTGCGTGGACGCCGCGGTGCTGGGCTTCGTCGCAGACCTGTCCCTCTCCTCCCCGGGGAACCCCTTCCTCTGCGACTTTGCGCCTGGGCTCCCCTTTGGGGACCGGGGCCTTGCGCTCCAGGAGAGACGACAACCCAGGAACCTGGCGCCCTTTGAGGAGGAGGATCTAGAGGAGGAGGAGGAGGAAGGGGAAGGAGAGGAGGGGGAGGAGGGGGAAGAGGAGACCGGGAGGGGCGCCTCCCTGCCGGGCCGCCCCCGGAGGAAGAGGGTGATCACCCACGCCCAGCGCCAGGCCGCCAACGTCCGCGAGAGGAAGCGCATGTTCAACCTCAACGAGGCTTTCGACCGGCTGCGGAGGAAGGTGCCCACGTTCGCCTACGAGAAGAGGCTGTCCCGCATCGAGACCCTCCGCCTGGCCATCGTGTACATCTCCTTCATGACGGAGCTCCTGCAGAGCTGCAAGGAGGAGGAGGCCCGCTGAGCCGCCCGCCCGGGTGGCCGCGCCCGGCCCCTCGGCGCCCGGCCCGGGAGGGTTGGATCATAGTGTCTTTGGAGACGTGGTGGCGGGTGCGGCTGGAAGGCCTGGAGGGACGCATCGAGACCCAGCATCTGACCTTCTGAGCCCAGCTGGGGATTGTGCCATCCCCGCGGCTATCGAAGCGTGGACACCAACACGCTCGCTCGCTGGGGTGTGCGGGGCAGGGCGGGCGGCGCCGCTGGGACCGGGAGGGCGCCCGGGCCATCGGGGAGCGCGCCCCGCAGATCTTTCTGCGCGCCCGGTGCGGGGGATGCTAATCATCTCCCCAAACCTCAGGCTTCGGGGGCTTCTCTGGAGTCCAATCTCTCTTTCTTGGCTTTTTATATTAAAAAATAGACATTAAAATAGAATTTTATTTTAATTTTTTGAACTTAAGTCTCCTGGCATGCGCTCCGCTCAGGCCTGCGCACTTCTGGAGATCCAGGAGCGGGGACCGGGATGGGTGCTGGGTCGGTTAATCAAGCTTCCAAGGAGAGGACAAAAGGTGCGGGAGGAAGAGGAGTCCAGAGAGCGCGCCACCTGGCCTCAGGGCCTCGCCCCTTCCCTCCTTCTACTGGCAACCCCTTTTGGACTCGGAGGGGAGTGGGGCAGTGCTTCCCCAGGCGCGACGTCCCTGCAGCTGGCGATGCTTCCTGTCTCCTTACGCGTGTGTGTGTGTGTGTGTGTGTGTGTGTGTGTGTGTGTGTGTGTGTGTGTGGTGGGAGTGGGAGGATGTAGGGGGTCCTTGGGGGCAAAGGACGGGGTCTCCCCAAGCGCAGCGTCCCCGGAGAGGAGCGCGCACTTTTAAAGCAGGAAAGGTAGCTCTCCTTCCAGTCTCCTCCAGGGACAGAGGAGGCAACAAGTCCGAAGAGATGCATCCTTCCACTTCCCAAAAACGTATGCCCTGGAGATGCGGTTGAAGCAGGACCGTGCTGAGGGCCAACTCCAGGTTGGACTCTGCCATTCTCCAGGGGGCGACCTGCTAAACTGAACTGGCGGTTTTCAAATAAGAGTAACTGTGAGGAGAGGAACGGGAATGAATGCCCACCTTACTGTAAATTCAGTAACCCTGAAGGATAAATCCCCATTTCTCAACACTTTATTTTTTCTCCCACCTCTTCGTGTGACACACACACACACACACACACACACACACACACTGTCCCTATCATACTTTTAGAAATAAAATTCATATTCATACTTTTAGAAATATAATTAATGTTAAGGAGTAATATATACTCATCCTAGAAAGTTGGGAAAACAGAAGTTAAAAGAAAGGAATAACATTTAAATCACTCCACGGAGCCATAAAGCATGTTTACCTATATCCTTTTAGTTTTTTTCCTTTTTAATATAAACAGATGTAAATTCAATAACAAGTTTGAGACTTGTTTTGAGTACTGATCTTTTCCCACTTAGGGAATGAACACATTTCCTTTGACTTTAAATATGATCCAAATGTAATTTTAATTACCATATTTTATTGTCATATTGATGTTTCACAACTTAACTCCAATCCTTTACAAGTGCATATTTTAAAAAAAAATAAATGATGCAGAGACCATTCTTATTCCTGCCTATGACAATTTCCTAATATCAGACATGAAATTTCTGCATCAAATGAACATTTAAGTTTGTGGCTACAAATGGCCAGACTGCCTCCCAGGTAAGTCCTGCCAGTTCTACTCCCCGGAAACCAGCATCTCAGGGATGCTTCTGTCTCTCAGTGCCTTCCTGTACAATTTTCCCACTTCTCCTGCCTGTAAGCACTGCATTAGTTCTGAAATGACCACCCTCCTAAAGGTGACTCAAAAAGGTAAATTTTTCCTTGGAGACTGCATCTTTTCACTTGGATTTTTCTACTTCTACTACAAGAACATGAGGATAAACAGATAAAAGGAAACAAAAAAATGTAACCAGCTAAGACCAAACACCACCATCAGGCAGTGTTGTGTGATTTGTTGTTCTCCAGCACATTAGTTGAGGGGGGAGGAGGGGAATGAAATTTTGGACAATGACCTCTATATCAGTTTTGTAAATTACTCATTTTATTTTCTATTTCTAGACATTTCCAATACTAAAACTAGCATATTTGTATTTTTAAAGATAAATTTAAAATTACTCATTTCAGCGGGTTAAAGGAAAAATATCTATTTTTCATCTCATCATCAAAACTGTGCTTCCCAACTTATAGAGTGCTAGTGGCTCCTGAGGGCCCTCATGTTTATCCAGTTATTCATTTGTTCAATTAAAAATTGTGTTGATATTTTACATATAGTGTGCATGGGTTCCAAACAGACTAAGTACCCTTTCTTCTCCCATTTAAGTCCTGAAACCTAAACATCATTTAAAAAAATAATCTGTAAATTTTAAATAAGTAAAAAAAAGGTCCAACTCTAAGAATCATTAACATTTTGTTGAAAGAACCAATTTTGAAAGCCACGTTTTTTAAACTGCAAAGGACCTCAAAATCATTGGGTTCTGAAGAGTAAATACAGCCATCATCCTTAATCCTCTCCCTCATGTTATGAACCATTGTTGTATTCTCAACAAGCACATAGTATCCTGCAGTAACATCTCTTCAGCATAGTAAAGAATGCCTGAAGAACATCCAAATAAACAGCTATTTTCCTATTATTAATAGAAGTATGTTCACCATTCTTAAAACTGTTACAGCTTATAAATACTTTATTCTCTGTGTTTTTAATATGTTTGGAAGCCGCTTTAAAATATGAAGTCTCAAGATATTTTCAGATCATTGTATTAATGGAATAATTTGAAGCCAACTAAGGATTAGAAACACAGAGAAATTGATAGATTTTTCCTTACACAAAATTATCCCTAGAGATAAGACAACATAATCTGCATTGTGACTATGAATCTATTGCACCTCCATATCTCTACACTCAACTTTTCTAAGCAATGTGATAGTTTTTATTTTTTCCATGTTATATCCACAAATTCAGTGTACTTTATAATACAATGGCTTTATGACATAAAACCTATGTTAAAATTGCTTTATCCTTTATCATCTCCTAAGTCAACATTGATAGAAACATCCCTGAATATTGGTTTACTTTTAATAACATTTGTTATTAGAGAGAGAGAGAGAGAGATTTGTTGTTCCATTTATTTATGCATTCATTGGCTGATTCTCATATGTGCCCAGACCCAGGATCGAACCCACAACCTTGGTGTTTCTGGATGATACTCTAACCAATTAGCTACCTGGCCAGGGTTACATTGGTTTTTCAATACCTTCTACCAGTTTTAAAAAAATCCTAATGGTGTCAATTACTTATGAAAAATTGTAATTATTAGTTTAGAAATCTTAAAGTTATTTGGACCCTTGGAATGTATCATTTTAGATGTTCTTGGAGTCAATTTATTTATACACTCTTTGCTGACTGAAAACTGCTTTTTGGTCTCAAACTAAGTTCCCCATAACTATCAGGTTACTATTAGTATTCAGACATGTAAACCAAAAAAGGATCTAAATGAAATCATATTTGGAAGACATAATCAGGCTTTCCAAGGAAAGTAAAAATAATCAGAAGCCTTTGCCATCAACAGGCAGTCATTCAGGCTGATCATCGTTTACAGTTGCCCAATGTGAAAGCAGATTTTGGCAAAATGAGCACTGGAAATTGAACCAAATATTATGCTAGCATGCATGAACATACAATTAAGATCCTTGGGTTGGTGTTTATTATTGCATTTGTCAGCATTCCCATTATAAAAACACTATTGTGGAAGATTTATAACATGGTTATAAAAATTCTGAGTTGAAACTTGATAAGCCAGTTTAATATAACTTTTTTTTTTGTAATTACAAATCTCAAAAAAAAAAAAGTAACTAAGACACTTAAGTACATTTTATAGATAAGGTTCCAAAATGTACCTGTAACTTTCAAGAACAAGATAGCCTATTTAATACAAAATGTAAATTAAGTAATTTAATTTTAATAAAAAATAGCTGGCAGATCAATAATTAATTTTAAGTAAAAAATCTACTTTTTATAGGGTGACATTTCATTAATATATATTTAAATGTTTTAGAAAAGTGTTGAAGTTTTGTTATATATCTGTATCTTTGGCCCAACATCATTCCAAGGTTCCTGAACTTTGCCAACATTTTGGGTGAAGTTAGTCCCAGATTCTGGTCAGTGCCCTGTCTTCCTGTGAATGCTGGACTAAAAAAGGTTACAAAACAAGAGTCAGCATTTCTGACCATTTTGTTTTGAATTTGGGGTTTCTTTGAATCCAAAGCTCAAAACCAAACCTGGCTGAGGAGAAGAAGGAAAGGAAAGAAGCAATGCAAACTGACAGGAATAAAATACCAGAAAGATGGAAAAACTTCTTCAAGTCTCTAGAAACCAAAGCTTATAAGTTACCGCAACTTTCTCTGTGACACCAAATTTTAGTACTGTGCTTAAAATACACTCTGTAAAGAAGTATAAGGAATAGAATGGAGTACACAGAACGCTATGAAAGTATTTTAGAATACTCTTTACAGCTAATATTTGGTAGAATCCAAGAACCTTTAATATGTAGTGAAATCAATAGTTTGGTGACTATTATGGTGTAGAAATTATCATAATAAAATATCTTACAGTCACTCAGTTCTTTGTTGTTTTCAAAGCACCATTCGTGTACTTTCTCTCATTTGATCCTCCCAACTAGATTTCAAGTGGAGCTAGAGCCTCACCTAAATTGAGTTATCAGTGTGCCTTCTTAAAAATTCATTCACTCATTGAAATCAGCATGATACTAAGATTCCTAAAAAGGACCCACGGTCACATATAAGCAGCACATGACTTTGAAAGATATTGCCTTCAAAGATCAAAAGCACCTTAGCACACTCTGTGGATGATAAATTATACAAAAGTCTGGTATGGTCTGGCTCCCTCAAAGGCCACATTTTACAACCTTCTATTTAGGGCTCCATGAAGGAGATTTCCACC